GAAAAATGCTTTTCGTTTATTCTTACGGCCTGGAAAATGAGGATTCAAACGGCCCTCTCCAGATATCTTAGCGTCTTGATGAGATGTTTTGGAAGTAATAATTTTCCCAAGTATTTTAACGGCTTAGTAAAAGATGTTTTAAAAGAAATATTTCCATATTCATTTCCACAATCATCAACAAATGTTTAAGACCACTTAATGGTAACAAGGTTATTTTCGAATATTTCTTTTTTTTTGCATTACTTTGTATCAAAAATTGCCTGATGCAAGAACATTTTGTTATTGCACCAGTCATTATTCATAGATGATTTCTGGTCAAAAACTTTCGTCATTGCCAAATTAGCATCCATTGATAGTATTTGTGCAATGAATTAGACAAAAAAATCCTCACTTTCACCTACACAATAGGTCTAAATTGTTTTCTACGCGATGAAGCCTATTCGGAACGTGAAATTAGTTTAAAAGTAGGCTGTAGTAAAATAACTGTAGATACTGCTAAAATGAATTTCCAAAATCAGGGATATTTAGCGACAAGGGGAGAAGAAAACATTCAAAAGAAACCTGGGCTAAAAATAACCACTTGATAAAAAATATTGCTAAACTATCCCCAACAAGATTTTTTTTTAAGAAGATTATTGCTACTCTGCTTCAAAATGATACAAATTGTAGTTCTATGTCACTTTCATGTTTTTGATATTTCAGTTTTGTCGGAAATTATTCTACGATTAACTGCAGCTATGAAATCCAAGCGCCTGGCAACATGGAATCTCGACAGCTGAATACTGGAGCAAAGTTATGATGTCAGGTGAATCTACTTTTCAACATTTCGTTATACTTAAAAGAAACATCGTAAGACATCCTGGCAGTAGATTTGATAAAAAAGTAGACAATTCAGACTATGAAGAACCGCCAAGCCAACTGTTTTTGAACATTATAACATATTTGGAACTGCTGGACTCCACTTCTTGTCTCCAAGACCAACAATAAATGGCGCAAGGAATGCGGAATAACTGCAGGAGAAGCCGGAACTGTATATTCACATTGATTGCTAAACAATATTTAATACTAGCAGTATAACCCATCTTCGATCGAGTCTTTCATTGCTTGGAATTTTTACCGCTCAGTTGGAGCAGTTTAAGTTTAAAGTCATCCCACCCGAAAATCAATATTAGTAACAATTGGGTACAACTAAGGCACATCCCCAAATGAGGGTGGGGGTTAACAATTTGAATGGGGTGGGGCCTTGAAAAGGCCGTTTTTACGTTCTCAATCTTGTTTCAGCCTCACACGCAGCAGAAGTTGAAGAGGCGTTTCTCCTCAGCCGTTGAGTCTTTTGATCACCATTTTGAGCTTCGCGCGCTGAAGCGTTCAGGTATGCTCTTCTGGAAAGCCGATAGCTACGTTGAGAATCTATATCTATAATTCCCAAAGTGTGTGTATGTATGTTTGTATGTGTGTCTGTGTGATCGTTGTTGTTTATATGTTTCCAGATTTTATCCGATTTCGATGAATTTTTTTTGTTTGATAGATAATTCTTCAGGGCCGGTGTCGAGTCCATATTGTTGGCGAAAATTTCTCTCCACGACTTCTTGTCCATTATGATTCTTCTTTTACTATTTACTATCTGTTCTTGAATATATGACTTTCATAAAAACTTTAATAAAAAAATAAATAGTTTAAATTATTACAATAACATTATCTATATCTATAAATCTAAAAATGTGCGTGTGTGTGTGGTCGGATGTTGTTTATGCGTTTCCACAGTTTAGATCCAAACGCTTCTGCGCGCGAAATCTGAAAATGATGATCAAAGGCCTCGGCGGCTGAGGAGAAACGCCTCTTCAATTGCTGCTGCGCGCCAGGCTGAAACAAGATATAGAAAGCAAATATGGCCTTTTTCAAGACCACCTCTATTCAAATTGTTACCCCCACCCTCATGTGGAGATGTGCCTCAATTGCACCCAATTACTTATATTGATTTTCGGGTGGGCTGACTTTAGACGTGAACTGCTCCAATTGAACGGCAAAAATTTCCAGTAATGAAAGACCCGGGCAAAGGCGGGTTATACTGCTAGTTATAGATATAATAAAGACGAGTTTACTCTATGTCACCAGTCAAAGATCGCTCAGAATTTTTTTAAGAGAATCAACGTGGCTCTTCCGTGGACCATCTACTGACAGTGGAAGACCTCGTATTTGAATGCAATTGAACATTAATGCAAAATTATCGAAAGTAAATTCGCAGTAAAACAGCGTTCAAGTAACGAAGAACTGAGAGTGGCTATTAAAGAAGTCTAAACAAAAGAATTTTTTTAACTAATATACACTCAATACAAGACGCAAAAGCCACTTAAGGTAGACGGTTACTATGTTGTGTTATATTAACGTAAGAAAGGACAAAAAGTGAAGTTCTTAATATCACGCAGGGAAGATAACACCTAAATTGAATTACGGAATTATAGAGCCGTGGTCGAATTCCCGACGAATACATTTGATTCGCTTACGTGGTAATAATCTTTTATAATAATCCTCTTTTCCACCCAGCTATGGGTATATAAAATATATATATATATATAAGCCTAGGATGACAATATATATATATATATATATATATATATATATATGCAGAAGAAGGACAGCTTAAGCTGATTTCCTTCAAAACCTACTCGAAGATCTTGCAGACACAAATTGCACCAAGTTTACTCATGATATTCATATCTTCAAAAAATGTGTCCATTGGTTCCTTATAAAAATCTTCACCAATATAATCAAAAACAAGTTTTATGTGGCAAACATAAACGACCGATGTTCACCTGGCCGAGCAGTTTTATTACTTATAAACCCTCATACGGACAGGAAAAAAGACGGGAATATAAACGACCATATATATATATATATATATATATATATATATATATATATATATATATAAATAGAAACGACCATGTATATATATATATATATATATATATATATATATATATATATATATATATATATATATAAACGTATGTATCCCCAAGTATGCTTATAGACTAAATATCCAATATTGATTCAACATTATAGACTAAATCGATATTCGCCTATCCCCTAACAATTTTACTACTCCAGAACCCAAGACAAGTAAATGCTTATAGAGACAAAAATATAAATCCCCAAGACAAGAAATTTATAGACTTATTCACCTGAAAAAAGTAAATGTTTATAGACTCAAATATAAATGTCAAAAAATCACCTATCCATTAGACAAGTAAATGCTTATAGACGCAAATCTAAACGACCAATATTCACCTATCCCCAAAACAAGTAAATGATTATAGACTCAAATATAAACGACCAATATTCACCTATCCCCAAGACTAGTAAATTCTTATAGACTCAAATATAAACGACCAATATTCACCTATTCCCAAGACAAGTAAATGCTTATAGACTCAAATATAAACGACCAATATTCACCTATCCCCAAGACAAGTAAATGCTTATAGACTCAAATAAAAAACGACCAATATTCACCTATCCCGAAGACAAGTAAATGCTTAAAGACTCAAATATAAACGACCAATTTTCACCTATCCCCAAGACAAGTAAATGCTTATAGACTCAAATATAAACGACCAATATTCACCTATCCCCAAGACAAGTAAATGCTTATAGACTCAAATATAAACGACCAATATTCACCTATCCCCAAGACAAGTAAATGCTTATAGACTCAAATATAAACGACCAATATTCACCTATCCCCAAGACTAGTAAATGCTTATAGACTCAAATATAAACGACCAATTTTCACCTATCCCCAAGACAAGTAAATGCTTATAGACTCAAATATAAACGATCAATATTCGCCTATCCCCAATTGTAGACTCAAATATAAACGACCAATATTCACCTATCCCCAAGACAAGTAAATGCTTATAGACTCAAATATAAACGACCAATATTCGCCTATCCCCATAACAAGTAAATGCTTATAGACTCAAATATAAACGACCAATATTCACCTATCCCCAAGACAAGTAAATGCTTATAGACTCAAATATAAACGACCAATATTCACCTATCCCCAAGACAAGTAAATGCTTATAGACTCAAATATAAACGACCAATATTCACCTATCCCCAAGACTAGTAAATGCTTATAGACTCAAATATAAACGACCAATATTCACCTATCCCCAAGACTAGTAAATGCTTATAGACTCAAATATAAACGACCAATATTCACCTATCCCCAACACAAGTAAATGCTTATAGACTCAAATATAAACGACCAATATTCACCTATCCCCAAGACAAGTAAATGCTTATAGACTCAAATATAAACGACCAATATTCACCTATCCCCAACACAAGTAAATGCTTATAGACTCAAATATAAACGACCAATATTCACCTATCCACAACACAAGTAAATGCTTATAGACTCAAATAGAAACGACCAATATTCACCTATCCCCAACATAAGTAAATGATTATAAACTCAAATATAAAGGACCAATATTCACTTATCCCCAACACAAGTAAATGCTTATAGACTCAAATAAAAATGCTTACAGGCTTCAATATATACGATAATTTTTTTCTTATTCCAGAACCAAGTAACTCATAGATTCACGTATCATAATAAAAAAAGACTGATCCAGACATTAAATATCACAAAGATAGTTGACATTACAAAATATTCACCATCCTCACCCAATCCATAATCTCAAAGAAATAATTACTAAAACAGTAATGCTTTACGACTGTGGCACAAAAAATTTCAGTGAGACACGCTGGCCAAAGACAATTCTTAAGAGATTTTGATAGCCTACTTTTCTATATTCTAACCATGAATATCTTGTGGATGTTTTTAAAAGATGTGCTCTACTCTTCGACCAGCTGAACTCGCATGTTACTTTGAATGGCTGGCGTATTTATTGTGAGTGGCAGTGTGAAGTATTTGCGAATCTATTTGTTAGATGACGATATGAAGGAAAATGTTGCGAAGACACCACGAGGATTAATGACATGTTTAATGGCTTGAGAGAGAGAGAGAGTCGCCTTTATAGGTTCGAATGCCTTAGTGATATCGCTATTCAAACTGACTGAAGAGGTCGCTGTTGTCGAGAGAGAAGTAGCGCGCATATCTTTTTAGTTTCTCCGCTTCTCTCCGTCTTCTGACAGAAATTGATGACAAAACGTGGGAAGATCATCAGCGGAAAATACTTATTTAACAAATAACGTGTTATCGTCAGAAGTAAAAGTAATGTCAAAAACGAAAAGGAAAAAAAGCAACACAGAAAGAAATCCTGTTATTACTTTTTTTTCTTTCTCTTCCGTTTATCTCCTTTCTATTGATTTCTTTGCCGTTTTCGTGTCTTGCGTTTATCGGATATTAAGATGCAAGAGAAAGAGAGAGAACGAAAAATGCAAATGGCGTGATGAAAGAGGCAGGGGAGGTAACCCGGCGACATACGAAGAAGACTTAAGGTCGATGAACTGCACACGTTTTTAAAAAGAGCACAATTTTCATGAAATTCATTAAAAAAAAAAAGAAAGAACAAGACAAAAGCAAATCCGTTCAGTTTCTTTCTTATAATTCAACTGAAAATCATTGTTGAGGTGGAGCTTCGATTTCTATTTTTTCCGCCATTTTCTTCTTAATTTTCAATCACAAAAAAAAACTCTCTTTAAAGATTTATATTTACAAATGCAGTGTTCCATTATGCCAAGAGCAATTACTTGTATGCGTTTAACAATTCTCGTTACTTAATTATGCGGTAAACTCTATCGTTTCAACAAATTACTTCAGAATGTTTTTTAATAACACATGCTTGTAGACATGACGAACCCGCAAGATATCGTAATGAGTTGGATCCTTAATTGGTGCTGCATAAGTACTAAATAGTGCATTATTCAACGCGAATTTGTTCTACATCAATTATCTCTGCTTTTCTGTTTACCAAATTCTTTCAGAAAGCAGGCGATCATTACTCTCTACAACTTCCTCTGTTGTGTTCCATCAAACAGTACTTGTTGTTTAAAAACACCCCTTCCATTTGTTCGGATATGTCAAGTAGGTTACCAATTACTTTTCTCTGTTTCTCTTGCCTTTGATGTTTAATGGGAGTGTTAAACGTTCCAAGCCTTCCTTCCTCGTCATGTATTCCAAAAATTCCGATTCTTTCTGATTGTTAGCAACAGTTACTTCCTATTTCGGTATTCTGTAGCCAGTTGCTGTTTTTCAGCATTCATTAGTTCCACCACATCTTGGTCGATTCTTGAATAGAAAATGTTAGGAAGATTACGTACTAACGTAAAAAGTGACTAATATAATTATTATAGCAGTACTTACGCTCATGCAAACCTGTTACGCTTACGGCAACATTATTTTGAAACACCTGTTCCCATATAATCCCCGAAGTTAAGCAACGTCGAGCTTGGTCACTACCTAGATTGGTGACTGCTAGGTAATATCAGGTACTATAAACTTAGATGTGCGGGGTATGGCTTACGGCTGTATTACGTTCTAACACCGGTTTCCGGACGATCATCGAAGTTAAGCAACGTCGAGACTGATCAAGTCCTTTGTGGGTGTCCGCTTGAGAAAATTAGGTACTGTAAGTTTATATGTGCGGGAGGTATGTCTTACGGACATATCGAGTGGAAACACCGCTTCTTGTATGATCATCAAAGTTAAGCAACGTCGAGCTTGGTCGTTAGCTATTTGGGTGGTGGATATCAGATGCTGTAAGCTTGTATGTGCAGATTTCCCCATGTCGAAAATAAAAAAAAATCTAAAACTTCTTTTTCTGGCTTTAAATTACTTGTAATGGGTTGATAAGCCATAGAAAACGAATCAAGCATTGTCTGTCCTCCAGGACCAATTAGGAAGTACAGGTAAGGCGCTATGTCTAGTAATGTCACGTTAACAGGAGAAGTTTTACTGATCTTCTGCCTGCATATCTTACAGAAGTTAAAAAAACGATGAAATTATCAGCTGGACATGTATCTGGTACTACTAGTCATGTCTTGTCTATTGACCAATACGCTGTCTACGCCAATGCCTTACATCTGTTATAGCCAGTATATACGTGACACCATTGATTAAGGGATGTCAAATGTGGCCAAGATGTCAGAATTCGACAGTTACAGCCGCCTCCCACCCAATATCATTTTCCTGATAATACACTTCGCTATTCATTATTCCACTATATATATATATATATATATATATATATATATATATATATATATATATATATAATTTGGGGATTTAGGCTTATAGCAATGAGTCTAGAAGCAGAATGCACTGGACGGCCATTTCGTTCTATCTGGGACTCATCAGCAGTGCGCATCCACTACCGAGAATCGAACCCGGACCGTTTCGATACAACACAAACGTCATACCAACTGTACCACGGGACTCGGTGACAAAGAAGACACAAACTAGACTCGATATAGCGTGCTACTCACTCAGTTCCGCAGTATTCAGATAACCTCAGAACAGTGCCCCAAGAGCCACGACTGCTTTTTGACCCTTAGCCGCTCCATCGCAGAGCATAAGCTGGGTCTAGCAAAGTATACAAGTAAGTAATTTACAAGGTATATATATATATATATATATATATATATATATATATATATATATATATATATATATATATATATATATATAATGGACTCTCCTGTCGGTTTCGACGTATGAGGATCTGCCAGCTTATTGATTCAGCTATGAATTTTGTGCGATAATCTTAAGTGGCATTTAAGACCCGCTAGTGATTTACAAATGAGGCCACATATGGGACAAGAGTGAGGATTGTGAGATGAGATCACTGTTAGATTGGCTGACCTTTTAGATCTTGCTCTCGCTTCTTGAAGATGATTCGGACAAGCAGATTGAAAACTGCTGGGTCCACTAAAACACGTTGATCTCCATTCTACCCGCTCCAAGGCTAAGCGCTCGAGGGTGTTATGTGGTATATTGGCAGCTAACAATAAATATATATAAATATTTTATTTTCTCTCTTACTACGTACTTAAAAGCATAATTGAATGCTAAAAGTATTCGGACCAGATTTTTATTAAAAATAAATATCTTCATTATGTAAGTACTTACGTTTCCGCATCACTAGCGGCCCAAATTGATTCTCGGACAACTGGGATTACTGTCCTTATTATTGTTGCTTTTACATCCATTTTGTAACAGATATTTAAGTACTTTGATTATTTTGTCATATTCTGGTTCCCTTTTCGAGGTAACTAGGTCGTTTTGTCCCAGTTGAAACCGAAATGTTGAAAGGACTTTTAAAATGACGTCACATATAGCGATCTTTTTTTTTTCTTTCGCAGTAGCAACGAGTTGAGAAAGAACAAGAAAGATGAAAATAGATTGATGAAACAAAGGAAAAGAAAAAAGAAAATTACTTCGAATTACTTTGGCGTAAAAGAAATATAAAAAACGGGGGAATCAAAAGAAAGAAAAGATTTCATCCTAATATGGCGCTGATATTTGATGTGAGTCAAAAAAAAGATGGTGCATTGCAAAAGATTCTCAGTTCGTTGAATACATTGCCACAGTCGTTTCTTTTTTTTTTTTAAATATTTTCTTTGATTATGTTTGTTGCCAACTGCCTGAAACGTGCAAATGAAGAAGAACAAAAAGAAGAAATAAGGAACAAAGGTAAAAAAGAAAAGTATATGAAAGAATCGAAAGACGTCTGTGAATAAGATCAAAAATAATTAAGCGATGTATAATATTAAAAAAACAGGAAGAAGAAGTAATTCCACGAAAATGAAAGCAGAAAGAACAAAAAAATAATAGTAGAATGGTGGATGTTGTGACATATGTCCGTGTTTCTAATGCATGTCGATAATGACACAAATTTTGAGGCGGGAGAACGCACAAGAACAATGAAACGGTGATGCATTCATATGCAGGCGTGTGCTTGTGAAAACGCAAGAGAATGTGACTAAGACGTTTAGACGAAAATGAAAAGAGACTGGGACAATTAGACAAGAATAAAAAGAGAGAATTATGTTTTAAAATGAATTCCTAAAACTTTGTTCACTGTGTTGTAATAAACCATCTTTCCCGTCAGAATTTATCTAGCATTTGTTCTTGCTTTGAATATTGCCGCCATATCTGGTCTGGAGCTCCTGCCAAATATTTTGAGATACTTGATAAAATCCAAAATAGAAACTGCAATGTTATTGATCCTGACCTGGCCTCTCGGCTTCAGTCAATTTCCCATCGCCATAACATAGCTTCCCTGTGCCTTTTCTATGAGTACTTTACTGGTAATTTTTAGGATGAACTTTCCGCTGCGGTACCTAGACATTAAGAATTTAAGTGAAGTACTAAATTTGCAGCAAGGTCACACTTCTTAGTTGTGAAACTCTTTCCCGTCTTCTTGATTCCTACTCAACTTTGATCTTCAAAAATTTAAATGCAATATTATCGTCTGTCTTCTTCATTTCTCTTCTTTCCTTGTTCTCACTATTTAATCGATTTTTTCTCCTATTCTCTAACACCCAGTAACTCTTTGCATCTTAATGGTTTTATTGCATTACTTTGGGTAAAATAAATAATGTAAAAAGTGAACTGTCTGGCAATTCGTTCGTATAAAGATAGTGGGCTTTATAAGATTAATAATATAATATCAAAGATAGGTAAGGATTAACAAAATACATCGACCAGTAAATTACTTTAGTATAATGTGTTCATGGAAAACATAACTTTGTCAATGAATTGCTCAATATTAAAAGAATAATTCGAGTTTTTTTTGTAATTATTTCACAAAGACGCAACAGGTATAAGAGGGTGTAAGAGAATATGAGGGAAAATATTATTATCGAGAGAGAAAAATAATGTTATCACGCACAATTACAAAACAGAAGGTCACGATTGACATTGCATATAAATTTTTTAAAATCAAAGTTGACTGGAAAGTAAGAAGCCGGGAGAGAGTACTATAAACCAGAATATGAGAGAAGCTGTTAGCAAAGAACTTACGATTATCTTTAGTCATTTATAATGTAAATAGATGAGATCTTGCCACTAATATAGTACTGCGCTTAAATTCATAAAGTTTAGGTACCACAGAAGAAAGTTCATCAGGAAAATTACCATAGAACTGATACATCAGACTTTCATCGACTTATGCTGTGATTCGATGTTTCGCCAACAAGGATACTCTTAAGAAGATAAGATAATCGTATCGAATTTCTATACAGATATCATATTTGATATCTTACTTATTATAAAACGCAGATTGTGTGTGTGTGTGTGTGTGTGTGTGTGTGTGTGTGTGTGTGTGTGTGTGTACGTTTATATATTGGATCGGATTTCCTACATTTTCAACCGATTTCAACAAAACTTCACGTTTTTTGGCAGGTAGTGTTTCTTATTGTCTTGCACACCTTTTTCTTTATTTTTAAATACAGAATGCTTTAAAAATTCCATTTACAAGACAATTGATTATAATAAAATTCTATTCAATCGCTAGATCCATAAGGATTGAAAGCAATGAGTTTGGGTTTGACCAATTCGTAAAAAAAAAAAAATAAATATCCGTCAACCTTAAACAATAGTCTTTGTCAATTTTATTTTTCAGTCTTTATGATGGTCGATACTTGATCTATCTCTTATTGTTACATCCCCGGGCAACGCCGGGCTCTACTGCTAGTCTGTTTATAAACGTCATATCTGTCAAGAAGTAAAATAGGTTCATCTTCAGGCTTCTTGCTTTCCAGTCAACTTTAATCTACAAAATGTAAAAGCAATGTCAGTCGTTATCTCCTGCCTTCTTAATTCTTTTTTATATATATATATATATATATATATATATATATATATATATATATATATATATATCCATGTATATAATTTTGTATACGGAATGAATTCCAATAACCAACAAAATGACTATTTTTTTGTAGGGATTTTATAACATATTTATGTTATAATATATATATATATATGTGTGTGTGTGTGTAACGTTCTTTTATAGTATATATTCTCATATTCTCTAACACTCAGTAACCACTTACGTCTTAGTGGATTTATTGCTTTGCTTGAGGTGAAATGCTTAAAAAACTATGGAAATAATTTTGTGTAATTATTAATTTCTTTTTACGTGCGGTTCTTTCATTTTAATTTATTCATTTTTTATCGCAACATCGTCTTTCTTTTATCGTCTTTCAACGAACGTTAATTAACAGCAACAGCTGAAAATAAAATGATCCTGAGGGGAGATTTGCATTTCTTATACTTGTGAACATGTCTTACCAGAGACAAATGAAAAGGCTGGGGCGATTTCACTGACAGTGTCTCCGCTGTATGCTGGGTATCCGGTGGCAAATATGACTTGGATATACGAGAATGCAGTCAGTGTACCAAACTAGAGTGAAAAACCGAGTTAAAAAAAATATCAATACATTTGTCGTATAACTAACACGAATGCCAAATAAAATTTCCACATTGGTATTTATTGACCAATCAGCGAGGCTGTTTGAGACGCGGCTTAAAAGCTTTGAAAAAGCAACAATTTCTGTGTTGTATCCTAAAAAGAACTAAGTATTTTACTTCTTGACAGATATCACGTTTATAAACAGACTAGCAGTAGAGCCCGGCGTTGCCCGGGGATGTAACAATAAAAGATAGATCAAGTATCGATCATCATAAAGACTGAAAAATAAAATTGACATCGACTGTTGTTTAAGGGCGGCACGATGGAGTGTTGGCTCGGATTGAGGAATCGGAAAGCCGAGTTCGAATCTGTTATACGTGCTAATTACCTTGAAAAATAGATAAATCCTCTTCTTCCCTCAGCTATGGGTAAGTAACTGGATAGACCGGTTTCTAAAGCCTTGGAAGAAAGAAATGCCAATCTACTGCGGGAAAAAGATCTGCCACGTCTAATATCGAAATGTATCATAACTGACTAATGCTAAAAATGAAAGCTCACATCCCTCTTAAAAATCAATATTAAAAATTGGGAATATATTTATAAACCATTTAAATTTATTAAATAAACTTAATGTGATTTGAAATTTTCCTATAAATAGCGTAACTTAAATAAATAAACTAGTCTTCAGTATACTTCGACCGGCATGTGAACAATACTGGTTTCTCTATATTTGACTCCTCTAAAAAGATATTGAGTGTTAAAATCCTTTTTTTAAATTATTACTCACCTAAAAAGTATTTTCAGAAACCTGTTTGCACGGTTTATATTACGACAGCACCAAGCGGCGAAAAAAACAACAACAAAAAAAAAACATGTTTGGGGTTTAGATGTCAATAGCCGTATATGCGCTGATATTTAGCTGATTGCCTGACAGTTTATTGCTGCAGACGCTTTACGATACACACAGAGAACAGAACATAGATTCTGTTTTGTTTTTTTTCTTGTGAAAATCACACACATACACTCTTCTCTATACGAAGACAACTCATTTTTCTTATGTAATTTAAAAATAAAACTATTACCGTATGAAGCCTGCTTGCATTTTCAACTGAACGAGGTAATTTAAGATCAGTATTTCTTTCACCTTAAAAAAAAAAACAACATTAATTTACAATCAATAATAAAAAGTATTTATTTACATTGTGCTCATCTTTATTATCATATTCACGTCATTTCGCCCGTTGTGCACTCCGGCCTTCTTCAGGTCATATACGTTGGAAAGGGAGATTCCCGCCCACTGTGGGATGATAAATATATATATATATATATATATATATATATATATATATATATATATATATATATAAAATTTTAGCACTTAGTTGATTGGTGTTACCTTTAGCTTCCTGACTCTAGAGTTTCGCAGATAGAGCCTCCAGCAATGACTCCGCCCACTCGTCAGGGGGTATCATCAATTAACTCTATAAATTTTTCGTTTATCTTGTATACATGCACTTTTCATCGGTGCAAGGTTGATTTCTTTCGTTTCATAATGTGTGTGTGTGTGTGTGTGTGTGTGTGTGTGTGTGTGTGTGTGTGTTCGCCCACACCTTCGCTTATGAGTCTACGTGCAGAATGTCATGATTATTTTTCCTTTTCGTTGTTTTTCTTTTTCGTTCTTTTACTTGTCACTTTATGCTCTCTCCTTATTGGTTTTAGTGATCTTGTAAACGTAGCTTAGATGTCTTGGTTTTGTAAATATATATATATATATATATATATATATATATATATATATATATATGTCCTGAAGATGGTCTACTAGACCGAAACGTCCGACGTTGACATTATATTAACATTAAAACAGCATAATTGCATATTAGGATTTTTGTTTGTTTTTTCCGTATATTTTCCTTCATACTGTCGGATCTATATCCATTTATTTGCTTATATATATATATATATATATATATATATATATATATAATATCAATATATATATATATATATATATATATATATATAAGAAAAATGGACAATTTATTTATTAACGACATTTTTATGTTAAACGTTCTTTTTTATAGATACAAGTATTTAAGTAAATGCTCTGTTTATAATTTATTTAATACTGTTTATTATAAACAGAGCATTTACTTAAATACTTGTATCTATAAAAAAGAACGTTAAACATGAAAATGTCTTTAATATATATATATATATATATATATATATATATATATATATATATATATATATATATGATGAGATATTGTTCAGGTCGATAGACGTAATAAACACTTTAAAATAAAATTAAAATTAAGAATTGCATTTCAAATATTAGTATCCTCTGTAATTATGTTTGAATGCATAAAAATGACGGAATAAAAATTAAATCCATGAATTCTTTAGAAATTGCTTTACTTACGTTTCGTATACGAATCTGGACGCTGCAGGGAAAAAAACGTTTGAAGGGAATGTGCTTTCCTTACAAGGGAAAATTGCTGAACTGTTATACTCTTTGTAGTCGAGAGGATCGGCATGCTGAATAAAACGATGTTTATACGACAAAATGTGACGCAAGTTCAATCCCTACCGGGAAGCACATCACATTTTCTTTATTAAGATTTATCCGATGCGCAGATTGAAGGATGTAACACGTACTGTTTAAAATAAAAGAAATATTGAGTCTATTTCAAATACCAGTATCCCTTATAATAACATTTGAGGTGCTTAATTACAACATGCACATACCCACTACACGCCTGTACATCTTGTTTCAAGGTTAAAAAAAAAAATTAATGTTACATCTGGTGTGAAATTACGATACTGCTAAAACTTAATTTTAGTAATATCGATGAATTTAATAGCGAAAAAAAAACACACACACACTTCATTAGCATTTTTCAGAAATCATGACACAGATATTAACGGAAATATGCATCCGTGGAGAGACATGTTCGCCTCAGTCCCGGTGGGATAAATCATCTTTGCAGACAATCGATAGCTTTAGAATTTAATCGTTTTTGTGACATACATTGGCCGTTAATGATTAAGTATAACTCAAGACTTCAATGTTAAAATGAAATAGTATTTAATTACAACCGCAAATAAATACTTAAAAGAACAAAGAAGTAAAAGTCAATCAAAGATAATTAACCATTTCAGTGAATACCTTGTTAATAGCGCGGTTCGTTTTAACGTCCAGTAAATCCTAAATCAAAACCCAAATTATCGACACCCAATAATTCACACTAATTCGACTGGATAGTTCCACACAATAGTCACTCAATAATCAACGCAGTCAGTAGCCTGACACCGCTATTTGTACACCAGGCGGAAAACATATATTCATAAGTGCAGAGTGTCACGTTCGAACCTCGGGGTCGGTAGTTATTCTAAATGAAAATCATACAGAATATATCTATATATATAAGAACGTATACAATAGCATAGTTGCATTTAGAGAATACATGTTTATATATGTGTGCGTGAGTACGAGCGTGTGTGTGTGTGTGTGTGTGTGTGTGTGTGTTCATTTGTGCCAAAAAAGAAAAAGAGAGAGAGAGGGAAGAAAGTGCCTGAGGCAACCTACAATCCCTTAACTGGTTGAAACTGCTCTTCTGACGTCTCCTGGTTGCTGGGTCTTTGAAATTGAAAACTAACTGCAGTTAGTCAGCACTTACCGGTTCCTGATTCAGACGGGTTCATCAAGTGCGTTAAATCGTACTGAGTGTCTGTCTGTATGTCTGTCTCTTTCTCTCTCATTCTCTTTCTCTCTCTCTCATTCTCTTTCTCTCTCTCTCTCATTCTCTTTCTCTCTCTCATTCTCTTTCTCTTTCTCTCTCATTCACTTTCTCTCTCTCTCATTCTCTTTCTCTCTCATTCTCTTTCTCTCTCATTCTCTTTCTCGCTCTCTCTCATTTTCTTTCTCTTTCTCTCTCATTCTCTTCCTCTCTCTCTCTCTCATTCTCTTTCTCTATCTCTCATTCTCTTTCTCTCGCTCTTATTCTCTTCCTCTCTCTCTCTATCATTCTCTTTCTCTATCTCTCATTCTCTTTCTCTCGCTCTTATTCTCTTTCTCTCTCTCATTCTCATTCTCTTTTTTCTCTCTCATTCTCTCTCTCTCTCTTTCTCTTTCTCTCTCATTCTCTTTCTCTCTCATTCTCCTTCTCTCTCTCTCATTCTCCTTCTCTCTCTCTCATTCTCCTTCTCTCTCTCATTCTCTTTCTCTCTCATTCTCTTTCTCTCTCTCTCTGTCTCATTCTTTTTCTCTCTTCTCTCTCATTCTCTTTCTCAGCCATCCTATATGCAAGCTTTTTCTCTCCCTCGTAATTTTTTAATGCTGTGTTCTTTCAGGATGTATGCGGTCATGGCTACCCACATGTTCCTTTTTTTTTTAATTGCTATGACTCGTTAGAAAAGATAAAGGAATGGTTTGCCGCTGCTTTCAACGTTTGGAATGCAGAGTCGTCTTTCCAGAACCGTCCGTCCTGGGTATGACGACAAACTGTATCCGGCAGCAAGACCTCTGATCGGGAGGTTTTGGGGTGCGTGGAACCATCTCTTAATTGCTTTTGTTCCCAGCTGTGGCCCATAGTAGGCAGCATTCATTAGGGTCCTAGCTATGGGCAAATAGTTAACCCGACGAACTGATGTTAAAACACTATAAATTATTAAATTTATTATTATGAAAGTATAAAAATATATATATATATATATATATATATATATATATATATATATATATATATATATATTTACATTATTCGGACTATTGTTCTCATCTTTGTCGCCATGTTTATCACCGCTTTCACTGATAAGTGATAGATCTTCTGCGTCACCTTCTGATCTTTCAGTCTGTTTAATTTTTTGTACATGGCGGGCCTTAACTACGTCGAATTCGTGTCTGAAGAATTTATCCAGGTCTTTAATCTTCTTCATTGGTAATTCTGTTGAAGAATTCCTCGAGCCTCTGGGAGATATGAGCTTGTAGTCTCTGTTTTATCCAACGATTGTACTGGATTCTCTCTCGGACAAGGGCGTGTCCCGCTTTTTATGCGACCAGACCGACTCTACTTGAATTGCCTTGAAGTCTTGGTGCAATTTGTAGGTCTCTGAATCGGTGTAGGAATGTCAGATGGTTCGATATATCGTGCCAATTTCTGGTAGGATTTTTCAATTTGTCTCCATATTTTCGGTGTATCGGGTCCGTACCGATACCTCAGTATCTGTCTATATTTCTGAGATGATGTATTATGTACACTATTTACATTAATCGGACTATTATCCTCATCTTTGTCGCCATGTTTATCACCGATGAGGACAATAGTCTGGATAATGTAAATAGTGTACATAATAATTCTCATCTCAGAAATATAGACAGATATATATATATATATATATATATATATATATATATATTACCAGCAATACATTTGACTCTCGACAAAAATTATCATTACGTTAATAAAACCTGATCTACAAACTGATTTCTTACAAAGAATACATTCTATTCATACGAACCTATCCTAAAAATCTTGTCGTAATTAAATAACCCATTTTCGTCGTTGTGCCGTAAAACTAAATAAACCAAATCAAATCCAGAATAGTTATATTTATAAATCTTAGAGAAGCAACTCTACTCTGATATTTAACCCATAGCTGGGGTTGGTGAAACGAGATGGATTCCAGAAGGCTATTGAACTTAGCAAACTTCATAGATAAGACCAGAATTCGAACTCAGTTCACCGATTTCGCTTTCTGCACCGACTAAATAAATCCCCTACCTTGGTATTTAAGGAAGTAGACATTCTTTACTGCCGATTGAATCTGGGAGGAATAACAAAATAATAAATTTCTTGCCAATTCTAAGAATTCTTAGCATAGCTTTTATCAAATTCTTATGGGTCATCTAATGCCGAAATTTATTTTTCTTGCGATCTTTGAAGTTGTAAAAACATGATATATGTTTTTTCTGCTTTCACAATTGAAGACATTGTAGATGATACTCAGTTTTAGTGTATCTTCGTTTGCTAGAAGCGGTGACACGTGTATTTTCTGTTATAGTTTCGTTGAAGTTATATTTTAGAATACAGTTTTGATTTCTTTAAGAAATTACAGTATATTATATGGATTAATAGATTAGGACGTTATATGGATTAATGTTATGAAAGAGTTCTTTCATGTTCGTTGTTTGGTTGTTTGATTTTGTTTAGCCGCATATCAACCTCTATGGCTTATTTAATGCAGAAATTTAAATATTTTGAAAACAATTTTATGGCTTCAATTACAGATAAAATTTATTGTTAGTCATTTTGCTATAAAATGTATTTTTGGGTAATCTTCTTCAAAAATGTATTGTTGGTAATTCTAAGATAAAATGTAATTAGTCATTTTGCTTCCAAAATGTATTGTTGTTAATTTTACTATAAATATGTATCGATGGACATTGTTTTCAAATAAAAAATATATCTCTGGTATTCTTACTATAAAAATGTATTTTTGTATTTTCATGGTGTTTCGTTTATTGTGGTGTTCACTAACTGCTTATAGCTGAGGCCCTAACAAGTGTTACCAGGTCGGGTCAGCAATTAAGAGGTGATTCTCTGGCAATATAGTAAAGAAAAACAATGTCTCATGCTTCACTTAGTGGAATTTGTAATGAAATAAGAATATTTATCGTAGCGACGTGCTAACGTGTTATTTTTTTGTTATAAATTCTGTACATTGTTTCGTAGACATTTTACGCTGTTTATTCAAAACCAATACTACTGTAATGGCGAAAGTATACAGGTGTAGGCTTTAAGTAAGCTTTATTCAACTGAGAGGACAAGGTTCGCCTATAGTGTCCTTTTATAGCCCCAATAAGTAGAAATAGCTCTCTGAAAGAGGTGAGTAACAAAATAAGGGGAGGACACTCTAGATTATGCATAACAACTATTTCTTTCCTGTTCGTAGTTTTATTATGACCAGTTACATCATACTTCATAACCTACAGTTATTTTCACGACTTTCATTTATGACCGGAAGTAGTGTCAAAACCCCGCGCTTTTGCAACACTCCTATGCCATAAAACAGCATATCGAAAGCCCGGGCGCTTCGGGGTATCCCCTCCCCCCACAAAAAATGATACGCTAAGATGAGTTTCGGCGGAATCTAGGCAAATTTTGATCAGTGGCCTGAGCGTTCGCGCTCAGGTTTCCCACGTTAAACTCTGACCTTGTTTCGCATCCCGCCTCAGTGGTGAGGCTACGAGTAAATATCCACTTGTTCCGAGGAGCAGCCATGATGATTGTGTAGTGATCGGACCAGCGGTGACCAGCGATCCCTAGCAGCGATCATCAGCAGCCATCAGCGATTCCCAGCGGCCAGTAGCGATCTCCCGCAACGATCACTAGCGACCAATTGATTCCTGCCGATCAAGTATTCTACCAATTCATTCCCTGCTGCTCATCATCATATATCACCGTAGTTTCAACTGCCTACCCTGCTTTGCGTCGACCTTCGTCTTTCGACACCTCCCAAGCGGTTTCGTCTTCTACTAACAGCTAATACCAACCCAATACACCAACTGCCGACGCATCTAAGACCAACAGTTAACGGCCCAGGGTATTTAAAACATTTGGATTCTTCGATGGGATTTTCCTTTTTGCTGTCAATAATCAGCCAGTTATGAGTGATACAGTGATACATGACTGACGAGGCAGATTTTTTTCATTTCTTTCTGCCATCCAAGGCTATAGAATCTGCTATTTATCCCGTAGCCTTGAAGAAGAGGATTTATACCTTTCCCAAGAGTATTTGCACGTAAGTTAATGTAATGGATTCGACTAGAATTCGAACTCGGCTCTCCGATTCCTCAGTCCGAGCCGCTATCCATTATTCCTATTTGAGCATATATTATCTAAACTCTTGTTCTAGATAACATGACCTGTGTCACTTCTTCAACTCTAATGTTTGCGGGGTCCGGCTAGCATTGACATTCTGACACCACAACTTATTAAACGGAAACATACTATTTTTTTCATCTAAAAGAGAAATAATTTATGAGGAAACAAAAGATGGTAAAGAGAATCGAGTTTATATTACAATGGTAGATTTAATCACACAATTCTTCTGTCATTACTGCCATTTCGTTTTTTTCAATCAAATCTTTCCACCGAAGGATTTCATGTAATTGCTCACGAACATTAGCCTCTAGGCCAATTCATAATCAGCCAATCAGAAGACGCGGTTAGAAATTCAAAGTCTAGCACTTTTCATGGATTCTGATTGGCAACTTTTGCTTTTCGTAGAAGCAGACTTCCGGGAAGAAAGTGGTATTCCGAAACGCCTTCTTTTTCCTTAAAAATTGAAATGGGTTTGGGGGTTTAATTTTCCTCTTCAACAAACTTCTCGTTTTTTTTTTTTTTTTTTTTCCATTTCACTGGAATTTCCTGGTCTGTATGAATTTCAGCTGACAGCATTGAATTTTTTTTATTTCGTCAAATTACTCCAATGTCTAAAAATCAATGAGAATCCTGAAGAAGTTAAATCAAAGAGAAAGTATTAAATTGTTATTCTCTTTCACATTGTTTTACCGTTTTTCTCTTTCCCTCTTTCTTTCCATTTCACTTTCTTACCTTCTTTCATTCTTTCTTTCTTTCCCTCTTTGTTGCTTTCTTTTCATCTTTCGTTCTTTTTTTTTTACTTTCTTCCTTCATTTTTTTCTTTCTTTCTTTCATTCTCTTTCTCCCTTTTTTCGTTTTCGTTTGTTTGGTTCTTTCTTTCCTTCTTTCTTTTTATTTTCTACTTTCTTTCTTTTTTCTTTCTTTCTTTTTTCTTTTCTACTTTCTTTCTTTTTTCTTTCTTTCTTTCTTCTTATTTTTTTCTTTCTTCCTTTATTTTTCTTTATCTTTTACGTTTTAGCTGTTAAGCAACCTTTGTGTTTGACTGGCACGAGAATGAGAGGCAAGTGCATACGAATAATTTTTAGATTAAAGAAATAAAACTTTATATGATAAGATACCTAAAACAGGTTTCAACTATTATTGCCTTTCACAAAGATTTTCAATGTCCCGTAGTCGATCATGCCCCCCACCCACGAATTCTTGTTTTTAATTATCTATGAATACTATAAATTCTGTGCAAATATACAAGCATGTACAAAGAATAAAGAAAGGCAAAAATTAAAAGGAAGAAAAACGAATAATTCAGAAAGATGATGAACACGTGAAGAAATAAAGGAAAAATATGAAGAAAGATTAAAATTACGATAACCAAAAAACTGACGAAATGCCACTGAGAGAAACTTTGAGAAAAAAATCAAATGATATAGAATATAAAATAAGGATGAATAAGGATTAGTCTATATCTATCTATCTATCTATCTACTTTAGTCTATTCTTGTCTATCTGTGTATCTACGTTAGTCTGTTCCTATCTATCTATCTATATATGTTAGTCTATTCCTATCTATCTATCGATCGATCTACATTAGTTTATTTCTATCTATCTATCTATCTATCTATCTATCTATCTATCTATCTATGTTAGTCTATTCCTATCTATCTATCGATCGATCTACATTAGTTTATTTCTATCTATCTAACTATCTATCTATCTATCTATGTTAGTCTATTCCTATCTATCTATCGATCGATCTACATTAGTTTATTTCTATCTATCTATCTATCTATCTATCTATCTATGTTAGTCTATTCCTATCTATCTATCTATCTATCTATCTATCTATCTATCTATCTATCTATCTATCTATGTTAGTCTATTCCTATCTATCTATCTATCTATCTATCTATCTATCTATCTATCTATCTATGTTAGTCTATTCCTATCTATCTATCGATCGATCTACATTAGTTTATTCCAATCTATCTATATCTCTATATCAACTTTAGTCTATTCCTATCTATTTATCGACGTTAGTCTATTCCTATCTATCTATCTATCTATCTATCTATCTATCTATCTATCTATCTAACGTATATAGAGTCACCTCTGCTTTACAAGTAAAGCAGAGGTGACTCTAGCGAAAGATGGTCAAACGGAAACTCTTTCTTCACACAAGCATTTTTGGTTAAATAATCTGGACGTGTTATATCTATTTGTATTTAATACTCTCGAATTATCTGATCGTCTTCTTAATGTTGGTATTAATTTCATTGAGGAACGCGCTGTAAATTTTTAATTCTTTTTTTTCCTGAGTATTTATTGTGATTTCACGACAACAACATTATCAAAGAGGCGTACACTTCATATATCGGATACAAGCTCTATCGCACAACATTTGAATAAACCATTCCTGTCCATATATAAAAATGTAGAAAAATATTAAATGTAAATTCAAGTATACTCCAATATGGAAATGAAAAACAAAATCGTGAAGTCCTTTATATACGGGACATACAACTGACACTAAATAAGATTAATTATGAGTATAGCAACATAGTTTTAAAATGCCTATAATAGCAACGTTTTTTTTAAAATGCTTAAATTATAATTATAAAACATTACAATTATATAAATTAAAGTTACCTTCCTTAGATAAAAAAATTCAGAAGCAAACATAACATCTTTAACAGTTAATTTTTAAATTTATTATAACAGAATGAGTTTCATGGGTATTTACAAAAAATAATAGCGGTTAGATTAATTTTTTGTTTTAGCAATTCATCCCTGAAAATGATCTCGGAGGAGATGTAAGGCACTTGGGAAAATAAAAGAAATGAAAAAACTTCGACGCCTTCCTTAATTAATATAAACACTGAGAAATCGATCAGAGAATTCGAGAGGATTAAAATAAAATAGATATAATATGTCCATATTATCCAACCAAACATGATTGAATGCATATATATATATATATCGGTTTCGACGTATGAGGTTCCGACAACTGTGCTTATTTAACCTTTTGTGTGAGTCGCAAGTGACATTTCAGTCCTGCTAGTGATTTGCAAAGAAGTACACAGATTGTACAAGAGTGTGGATTCTTGGAGTATATGGCTGGAACAGCAGCAGATATTTTCTTCCTTTCCCTAGTTTGACGAAGCTTGACAATGTTTGATGCTGGTATGTTCTTGATGCCATTGTAGCATGTAATCTTCCATTCATTACGATCAATTACGATGTTCTCAAAGGTAGTGTGATTTATATTCGCAGCTAAGAGGTTACTTTTCAGCTTGTCCCTGCAAAGGCCGACCCACGTTTCGATGGCCATTGTCAGTTGACCATACATGAGCATATATATATATATATATATATATATATATATATATATATATATACATTTTATGTTTAACGTTTTTTTTATAGATACAAGTATTTAAGTAAATGCTCTGTTTATAATAAATTCGATCTTGCCTCCCGAACGCTCACTTGTGGCCGATCGGTAAGGCACGTCAGCGTAAATGACGGTTCCGTATAGGATGCAGGTTCGAATCCTGTCAAAGGACGAATATTTTCTATGAAAATTTCTCGGACATTCAGGCCGGTAAATGTTATTTAATACTGTTTATTATAAACAGAGCATTTACTTAAATACTTGTATCTATAAAAAAGAACGTTAAACATAAAATGTCTTTAATAAATAAATTATCGGACTTTGTCCATTTCTTAATATATATATATATATATAAACATATATATATATATATATATATATATATATATATATATATGTTTGTGTGTGTGAAAATATATAGAAAATAGGAAAAAGAACTCGTTAGGTATATAATCCAAAGTTCTTTAGTATTTTTGTTATTATTTTAAAAAAATAGTGCTCGATACAAAAGTAGAGCATATATATAATTATTTATTTAAAAATATGATTCCAACACGCTACATAAGAGGTCTCATGTTTCAAAACAAGAGGCGAAAACTTCAATATAATTATTTGAATTAAATTTAATTAAAGTAAGCTCTGTTCCATCTTCAAGCGAACTTTTTTGGAATAACTTATTTCTGAAATTTACGTGTTTTAATAGCATATTCATTATTGAAATCAAAATTTCCATGGTAACAGCCATGTATATATATATATATATATATATATATATATATATATATATATATATATATCTGACATTCCAAAAGAATGAAGAAACGTCACAACAACACTCCCCCTTCACAAAAAATATAACCGCAGCACACACACACACACATACACACAAGCAAACTGTAAAAGAATAAAGTAAAGAAAATCAAATTAAAAACAGGTTATAAAAGGAAGAAAAACAATGACGAAAAAGAAAGCAGGCATAGAAAAGCAAACAAACACAAGCTTTTCGGCAAAGATATAAATCATAGAGATAACGTCTCCTTTGTAACTGTCGGAAAAATTACTATCGGCTTCTTGTTTGAATTGTATATAAAAAGTAAAAATTAGATTAACTTGTTTTGTCATTGCATTGACAAATGTTCAGAAATATAATTTAGCAAAGGAAAGAAAAACTAAATCCTTCAAGCTGACGACAACCTGGAGAGAATAAAAAAAATATAAAATAAAAATTTCATTTGTACGCGTCCAACAACATAAAAATAATAATACACGTTACATTTAAATAACACTCACTGCTGAAAAAAGAACTGTATGGAAAAAGAAAATATATACAGCACACGGGTGACTTTTTAATCATATTTTTTTTTACCTACCTACCTACCTACCTACCTATCTATCTATCTATCTATCTATCTATCTCAACCTGATCATATCTATCTGTTTATCTTTTCGTATCTATCTATCGCTCGATCGATCTCAGTTTGTTCATATCTATGTGTATATCTAATTCTGTTCATATTCATCTCTGCCTGTTCATATCTATCTATCTATCTATCTATCTATCTATCTATCTATCTATCTATCTTCGATTTATTAATGTTTTCCCTTTTCTAATCAACCTGTTTGTAGTCTTTGTAACTTTCAACATGCATTTCTTTCTTTCTCGTATCGCATGTCTCTCTCTATCTCTCCCACTTGTTTTTCCTTGTTGTTGTTGTTGTTGTTGTTGTTGTTGTTGTTCTTCTTCTTCTTCTTCTTCTTCTTCTTCTAGATGGAGAGTATTCATAAGCAAAACCAGAATAAATTCACCGATAACTTTATGTTTATATAAACACGCACACATACGTGTACACACACACGCATACAAACACACACACACACACACGCACATACAAACATACGCACACACACATTCCTCCTGCATGTGTATTTAACAAGTTATATAACAAATTCCCCGGTGTTTCGAACAGGGATCGTGCTTTATCTCTCGTATTTGATGAACTTTAGTAAAAAAAAACAACAAAAAAAAACATCAATCTCATCGTCGGTTTCATGATCGGTTGTGGTCGTAGGGTCATTGCGCAACTATGCACCTGTCTGGTTCCCTGCACATATTTGGGTTGAAAGCAGAAGAGTAATTCATTAACGTGCTGCGAGTCTTGGGCAATTACACCTGATGGAGCCCACACCTGTGCAGGTCAAACTACCATCGATGTACTGTATCTTGAAATATCTCCTTCTTCGCCCACGTCACTGGCCACTGACTTCAGTCTAGGAAGCCCTCCGCCCGCTATTGTTGTTTCATCACCGCACTGATGCTATGCATGGCTATTGATCCCAAGTTACTCAATTTTGTTAGATGGGCGTTGACCCTAAAAGTACATCCACCCTTCTTTTTAATTCTACTGGGTGCCTAGCCGCCCCCTTCTCATGAAAAATATCTGGTTGGTGAACCGGTTTAGTCGCTGATGACCAGACCAGGTAACACTGGGCTACATATAAAAGGTGTTTCAATAAATTGGACTGATTTTAAATGAGAATAAAGTTTAAGCGTCAAATAAGTTTTTCTTTTTCTTTAACAACTGAAGTCTTTGGCAATTTCAATCATGAAAAGATTAACAATCAAACAACGTGTTAAAGTTAACGAAGCCTATTACGAAAATGGATGTTCAAATAGAAATGCATTTCGGCCACTTCACGATATAATCGACCGACCGAGAGTGCAGTTGGAAACGATGTAACGTTGCTGTGAAGAGGTTCAATTACTGCGCGAGATGACGAATAGAGGGGTCTGGATTTTCGACCACATTCTCGTGCACTACAGCAATGTTTTCAGCTGAACGGCGTAAACGAACATGCAAAGGTGTTTCGACATCTGCCACCGACACAGTTTGTTTGAATTGACGAACAATTTTTCCAATTGCACTCTTGAAATTTTAACACATTGTTTGTTTGTTAATCTTTCCATGGTTGAAATTACCAAAGACTTCAGTTGTTAAATCTTAAAGAAAAAAAAATCATTAGACGCTTAAATTTAATTCATATTTAAAATCAGTCCAAGTTATTGGAACTCCCTTTATATAACAAATAGAATTTATTATAATGTAACCATACTACAAATATATTGAATTATACGGATACACACACACACGCACGCACATACATACATACACATACACACACACACATACATATATATATATATATATATATATATATGAAAATTTCTCTGATTTAATCAATAGATAAGACAATATTCATGAATAAAAATGACGATAGTAAAACTAATAATTGCTGACGCGTTTCGTCCAGTGTGGACTTTATCAAAGCAAAATACGAAAATTTCCTATTTTGCTTTGATAAAGTCCACGTTTATAGTTTTCCTATTGTCATTTCTATTCATGAATATATATATATATATATATATATATATATATATATATATATATATATATATATATAATAGAAAAGGGACTAGCCATCAATTGCAAGGAGACAGAAATTATGGTCATCAGCAAGAGAAAAAGTCCAAGATGAGTGTAGCGAATCGTCGATTGTCATCTGTGTGACAAAAGAACTAAGATAAAGAGATGTTTTCTAGTAAAAAAAGAAAGGGTTTATTATAATTTTAGTAATTATGGTCAGTGACTAAAAAGGTAAAAAAAAAAAAACATGGAGGCTTCCTGACAAGAAATTAAAAAAATACATCGAAGTAACTTCAATCTGGATTTACTGCGTCTTTGTGGTATAGTTTAATTATCAGGTCAGTGGATGGTAGTAAAGGGACTGCCCTGAAGTAAATTTCTACATCAACTAACTTCGCCAGCCAACTCAATTTTGGTGCCAGTCAGCAAATGCAGATACTCGGATGGAAGACCTCCAATTTGTAATGTCATCCGACCATATCAAAGAGTTCTTTCAAATCTTTGATCTAAATGCCCCGGAACTCGGAAAAGTTTCATTCATAAAAAATAGATTCTCTTAAGAAGAAATAAACCGTTTAACAACAATTGGAAAATCCGACACGGAGATCCGAACACGCATTGGACTAACGAAAGAAGCATTCGAAAAGCTAAGAAAAGTACTGAGAAACAGGAAAAAATGCGTTAGAAACAAAGAAAAGGATGCTGGATTGCTATGTGGTATCCATCCACTTATATGGCAGTAGATATTTGGCAATCTCCCCACGGATAAGGAAAAAAAAAACTAGAGTCAGCAGAAATGTGGTTCTACAGAAACATCTTGAAAATCCCATGGGCCGAGCGAGTAATCAACAAGAAAATCTTAATAGTAACAATAAAAAGAACATTCATACTCAAAAAATAGATGAAATTCCTTAATGAGAAAGGAAGGCTTGGAAAAATGTAACGCCCGTGGGGCTTGTTAAGGATAAAACAGATAAGTGAAGGGAGCGGGGTATTTACCTGGCGAGCTTGTGTAAATGGATGTTGAAACGGCGAATTTGAGCAAGGGGGGAAAAACTGCTAAGCGTCACTCGAGATAGGAAGTTGTAACCCTGGGGGCGGGGATGCGTCACATAGAAAAAGAAGACGCTGTAAATGATTTAGTTAAAAGCCAATTATCTTTTTCTTAGTGGTAAGGATACTGAAACCCAACTCGTACTTCTGTCGTAGTATTTGTAAGTTTTCACTTCATTCGGATGTAGACGAGGCGAAGAATGGGCAAAGATAAATTACCATCTTTAAACAAGGAAGCTATTTACATGCAAATTTAGGAATATTGCATTTCATTCTCTTTCTCTCCGCGTTCGTGTGAGTGTTGTGTGAACGACTGCCGTTTCACATGCATAATGCCTTACAATTGTGGGCAGTTGAACTTTTTATACAATAAAAATCCTCATATTGACTTAACTCGCTCTATGAAGAGTTCTGCATTCATTATAACACGTTTAAAACAAACATTTGAACGCACGCCTTTCTATGATCAATGTACGTTACAAAATATATTCAGTCATTTAAGTGCCACATGTGATACACGCTTAAACGATCATGTATCTTTCGATAGATGACTGACGAGGCAGATTTTTTCCCGCAGCAGGTTGCCATTTCTATCTGCGGTAGACTGGTTGCCAACCAAGGCTAAAGAATCCAGTCTGTCCTGATATTCAACCTATAGCTGGGAGGTAGAAGAGATGGATTCATATCTTTCCCAAGGTATTTGTCCGTAAGCGAATCTAACGAACTCCTATCTATCTATCTATCTATCTATCTATCTATCTATCTATCTATCTATCTATCTCAGTTTCTTCGTATCTATCTATCTATCTCAGTTTGTCCGTAATCTATCTATCTATCTATCTATCTATCTATCTATCTATCTATCTATCTCAGTTTGTCCGTAATCTATCTATCTATCTATTTATCTATCTATCTATCTATCTATCTCATCTTTCTGTCTCAGTCTGTCTGTCTGTCTGTCTGTCTATCTATTTATCTATCTATCTATCTATCTATCTATCTTTCTATCTATCTATCTATCTGTCTATCTCATCTATCTATCTATCTATCTATCTATCTATCTATCTATCATCTATCTATATATATATATATATATATATATATATATATATATATATATATATATATATATATATATCCAATAATATAATATAATATCTAATATATTACACTATATAATTTGTTTGTTTAGCGGAATAACAACACTTTATGGGTCATGTAATGCCGAAATTTAATTTTCTTGGGAGTATTCGTAATTTTATTATTATTTTCAAAAATGTATTGCTGGTAATTTTATACTATGAAAATGTATTGCTGGTATTTCTTTTTAATATAAAAATGTATTTTTGTATTTTCATAGTGTTTTTTTGCTGTTGTTGTTGTTTGTAGGTTCCCTAGCTAGGACCGCTTAACAGGTGCTACCACCCCAGGTCATGGCACCTAGGGACAACAGCAATTAGGAGGTGGTTCCACGCTCCTCAACACGTCTAATCTCTCCCAATCGGAGGGCTTGCTGATAGTTCTAGTTTCATAACCAGGACTTAATATAATTTGTGCATTTAGTAATATAAAAATAACTTTTACTAGAGGTTAAAAAAATGTGACAGCATTTCAGTGCAGAAATTATATTTAAGAGTGCATACAGTTTTTATATCGTTCTCTACTGGTTGTGCCACTAGGTCCCCACTTCTTAGACTAAACTCTTTTTTTCTAAACTAACAATAATAATGGTTCCGGGTGTAGTAAATGTTTTGTTTGATTAAATTTATATTTTATATAGAAATATTGTGGTTTTACCATTCAGTATGTCTGTTATGCTTTTAAATTCAAAAAAAGTATTGTCAGTAGCCAGGATCAAAGTAAAGAATAGTGATAGATAGATAGATACTAACAGACTGTTGTTTTTTTTTTAGTTTTTTTTTTTTATACCAGGCCAATCATTACTATGTTACTTAAGGTCGAATTTTGTATGATGAGTCTTATAAGGATCGAACACACTGTTTAGAAGTAATGGTTAACCGGGACTTACATCGCTAACCAGTTGCCCCCCCCCCACAAAAAAGAAAAACAGAAAAAAACTCAGATAGACTGACAGACAGACAGACAAACAAGCAAGAATAGAGTAAGATAGATAGATAGATAGATAGATAGATAGATAGATAGATAGATATGATTAGACCGAGATAGATAGATAGATAGATAGATAGATAGATAGATATGATTAGACCGAGATAGATAGATAGATAGATAGATAGATAGATAGATAGATAGATAGATAGATATGATTAGACCGAGATAGATAGATACATAGATAGATAGATAGATAGATACGAACAAACTGAAATAGATAGATAGATAGATAGATAGATAGATAGATAGATAGATAGATAGATAGATATGATTAGACCGAGATAGATAGATAGATAGATACATAGATAGATATGATTAGACCGAGATAGATAGATAGATAGATAGATACGAACAAACTGAGATAGATAGATAGATAGATAGATAGATAGATAGATAGATAGATAGATAGATACGAACAAACTGAGATAGATAGATAGATGGATACGAACAAACTGAGATAGATAGATAGATAGATAGATAGATAGATAGATAGATAGATATAGATATAATTAGACCGAGATAGATAGATAGATAGATAGATAGATAGATAGATAGATAGATAGATAGATAGATAGATAGATAATAGCAAAAGACTGAGAAACAAATAAGCGAACAAACAAAGAAATCATGGGGACGTAGACCTTGCTTTCTTTTCCCGCCAGAAATACTGAGAGCTTTCGAAATGCCGTTACTAATTTAAATTAACAGAAGACATAAATTTAAAGTAAAAAGAAATAAATTTAAAGTAAAAAAAATAAAAGAAACCAATAAAAGAAATCCATTTAAAGACTTCAGGCCATGACACCAAGTTGTCCTGTCTTGATAAAACATTCCGACATGTCTGTATTGCTCAATAAACGATGAAGACGTTCAACGTATCTAATGACCTCATTCAACGTTCACAAGCCGCGATGCCTGCGGTGATGCGTCAAGTTGCATCAAGAAATAAACATTCTCGTAGTAATCTCCCTTTACTGGCGATGACCATTTTGAAAATGGCTTTTTCAATTAGAACAACTCTAAGAGTTCATTTCATTTTTTGAATAGCAAATTGATACGAACTTTCACTCTGAAATGAATGCTGGGAATTCAATAAAAGGAAAACAGAGTTATTTTTTTTTAAATACAGCATGCTTATACCTTCTGGTGATATTCATACTCGTAATAAATTTTCTAATCGATATGTATTCAGTCAGTTATGTGCTATGCGAGATACAGGCTTAGGCGATCATGTATCTTTCGATACATGACAGACGAGGCAGATTTCGTCACGCAATGGGTTGCCATTTCTTTCTCCGGTAGACCAATTGCCATGTAACGTTAAAAAAGAACCCAGACTGTCCAGCTATTTACCCATATCTAGTGGGGAGAAGAAAAGGATTCATACCTTTCCCAGGCGAATTATCACATCAATCAGTCAGTTGTGTGTCATGCATAATGCATGACTGACGAGGCAGTTTTTTCCCCCCAGTAGGTTGCCATTTCTTTCTGCTGTAGACCAGTTGCCATCCAAGGCTACAGAACCCGGTATTTATTCATAGCTGAGGGAGAAGAAAAGGATTCATATCTTTCCCAAGTGTATTAGCACGTCAGTCAGTTATGTGCCATGCGTGATAAACGCTTAGGTGATCATGTATCTTTTGATATATGACTGTCAAGTCAGATTTTTTTCCTTGCGGTTCTACCATCCAAGGCTATAGAACCCGGTCTGTCCTACTATTAACCTATAGATGGAGGGAGAAGAATAGGATTCATACCGTTCCTAAGAGTATTAGCACGTAAGTGAATGCAATGGATTCAATTTAGGTAGTCATTTTTTTATCTTATCCGACGCAGTATGAGTTGTAGAATCGAATAAAACCATTCCCGGTGGGCTAGCGGCAAGAGAAATGCCTTAAATCTTAGAACAAAATGTATTGAAACAAGAAAGTGTACACAATATTTACATATAGACATTTGTATATTCCTGGTAAGACCGTCCCTGGAGAATGTGTTGACTGAGTCGCAGTCGGGCAGAGTCTCTGGTTGAATCTCTTGATTCCTCCCTCTCTTCCCGGTACCAACCATATTTATATGGTCGGTACTCCACTATGCAAATTAGGTGGATCCTACCACAACAAGAACCAAGGCGAACCGTCTGTTATTTTTAACTATCGTCGTATTAGTCTTCTACTTCTTTTTGATGAAGTAGAACAATCTCTGAATTTGTTAAGCATTTCATATTGCAGATTCTTCTTTCTGTAAGGTCGTCCTAAACGGGTTTACCTCCAGCTCCTTTATCATGAACACTGGTGTTTCCCGAGGCTCTATGTTGAGCCCTACACTGTTCCTGATCTTCATTAACGAACTTCCCGGTGTCATCAATTGCCAAGTAGGCATCTCCGCGGACGACACTACTATTTACTCCTACCTCAATAGTAAATCTAGTATCGTTGACAAAATTAACATGGCTGATCCCGAAAAGGACTTCCAATCTGTGGTATTGACTGGGGCAGGAAATGGCTTGTAAACTTTAATGCCTCCAAAACGAAACTGCTCTCCTTTTTCCCACCACAGAGAACCCTCCCTGTCTTCCTTCAAAATGACTGATTCCCAACCCATCGAGAGCGCTTCGTTACGCCTGTATGGTCTCACGCTGTCCGCTGACATGAAGTAAATGCCTTGAATCAACAGCTTTATCTACGGCAAGGAAAGTTGGTTCTGCCGTGCCAAGTTTGTTTTTGTGTTTTTTGTCGTCTGATTCCATTCTTCCAATCTATAAATCAACCAACCGTCCGTGCATGGAATATTGCTGCCATTTATAGTCTGGCGCCCCCGCTGAACGTCTCGAAGTCTTCGACAAAATCCAGAGACGAATATGCAAGGTGATAGGTCCTGATCTGGCATCTAGTCTACAATCGCTATCCCACAGATGTGCTGTGGCCTCCCTCTGTCTCTTCTACAAGTATTTTCACGGCAACTGTTCCGGCGAACTACTTTTGCTGGTTCCCGAACTACATGAATGTAAGCGAGCTATCAGGCTGGCATCTCGGTCCCACCCTTTCACTGTCAAAACGTTTAAAAGTAACCATCTCATCTATTCAAACAGCTTCTTCCCTCGCACTTCCTGTCTGTGGAACTCCCTTCCCCTTAATTGCTTCCCCGATGACTATAATCAAATATTCAAGTGTAATGTCAATCGACATCTGATACCTTGATCTTGTTCCTCATCCTTCCCTGTACCCTTTCCTCAAACACGCCTCTTTACTCTTGTTCTCACTCCTCTGTAACCCCTTGCGTGATAGGGGTACTCCCGCCTTGTTTGGGGTGAATTTCTTTTTCATAAAAGATAAAAAGATAAACAATATTGCTTTCTCTTCTCTGGGTCAACTGTTGATGTATTAACATATGGTACTGAAAGAGTCTATCAAGCTGGTGAACCATGGGCTATGGCTTTGGACATCTCCAAGGCATTTGAGAGGCAGTTCTTCTTCACAAGTTGAAAGGTTATGACATTTCGGTACTAAATTTGCGACTGATTTAGTTTTTCTTATCAAATCGCAAAATGAAAGTTGTCTTGAATGGCCACTCTTCTAGATCTTTTGGCATTAATGCACGTGTAGTCCATTGACCTTGCAGCTACGTTATTCCCAATTGTCATAAATGACCTTCCCGATGTCATCAGTTCTTAATACGGTATCTATGCTAATGATTTACTCCTGTCTTAATAGGAAGTCTGACCGGTTCCTTGTGGCCAAATTGTCAGCTCATCTCAAAAATGATCTACAGTCTGTTGTTAACGACGACAAAGAATAGCATGTAAATTGTAACGACTCCAAAACGAAACTTCCTTCTTTTAATCGTCTGAAAGAATACCCTTCGTCTTCTATACCCAAGGCTGACGCTAATCTTCAAGAGAGTGGCTCATTGCGAATTCTGCAGCTAACGTTTTCCACTAACAAGAAATAAAAAGATTGTATTGAATCAATTGCTAGGTCTTCTGCTACGAGAGTTGGTTCACTGTGTCAAGCTAAATAATTTTTCTCGTCAGAATTTATCTTAAATACGTATTTATATGTCTACCATTTGTACATGTATTGAATATTGCTGCCGCATCTGGTCTGGTTCTTCTGTTATGTATTTCGAGATTCGTCATAAAATGCAAAGAAGAATATGCAATGTTACTGGTCCTGACCGGGCATCTTGGCTTCAGTCACTTTCCCACATCCGTAATGTAGCTTCCCTGTGCCTTTTCTATAAATACTTTCATAGTACCGTAATTCCCCATGTATAATACTCTGTTTTTTCTAAAAATAACAAACAAAACCAGGGGGAGCGTATTATGCACAGCTACAAAAATTTTTTTAAAAAATTACCGTAAAAATAAAGAAGAATTATCATAAAATTAAATTAGAATATTATTCTATGTTTAAAACCATTTTTTTAAAAAATAAGTGTGGGAAACGCTGGCCGTAATTAAATTGGAGAGTTACAATTTATAGGGTTTGATTACCAAACAAGGGGTGCGTATTATGCATGAGGAGATAATTTTCCCACAATTTCAGCACAGTTTTAACAAAATCTCCTCTC